TCTGGCTGCAGATTCCAAGGTCATGCTGGCTTTGGGTGTGAGCGCGGCAGCCCGCGATGGTACACATAAAAAACAAAATGGTACGAGATTTACAGAAAATAAGGAAAACGAAATAAATGCCCAAGCCTCATTTTCAATGTTAGAAATGTGAAGCAAAATATGCTGGAAGTTGAAATAAATATATCTATACATTAAATATACAAACCAACACAAATCTGAAAATTGAAAATAAAACGGAAAAGCCTTAGCAATCTATTGAATGTTGAGCAAAATCTAATGGAAGTAAAAAAAAGTTGACTATTGGAAATTATGCATACACATACACAACGGAATGATAGGAAATTTACGAAAAAAGGGAAAGGAAATGGATGCCCAGAAACAGGAGGAATAATGTCCAAGCCTAGGTTCGAATGTTAGAAACGTGAAGCAAAATATGCTGGAAGTTGGAAGAAATATATTCTATTTATATTTAAAATATACAAACCAACACAAAATTTGAAAAAAAAGGCAGAAAAGGGAAGAAAAAAAGGCAAAATAAAAAGTAGATGTCTGAGCCCAGGTTCGAACTGGGGACCTTTAGTGTGTGAGACTAACGTGATAACCAACTACACCACCCAGACGTTCCTGTCTGAAGCTTCGACAAAACACTATATCACCTTATCTTATGTGCTACTGTCCTTGTGCAGAGCTCCCTTTGGCGACGGAACATGCCGTGGCATATTGTGGTTCTCCTTGCACCTCTTGTCTGCCTGTTATAATCCAACGGTTGACGAAACAGCAGTAGTAAATTTCTTCACGCAGAGCATATATACGGTCCTGATGTGAAATCGCAGAGCAAGCGAACAGCCTAGAAAGCAAAGCGTGCAACCGGCGAGATTATTTCGAGAATACCAAGAGCGAAACTCCCCTGCCGATATAAGAACCCTCGCTCGTGCGATATAAGGGCATCTCCAGCCGTTCGCCCCCCCAGGCGCCTAAATAGAGCGGCCTGGGGGCATTGTCGGCGCTAGTTCGGCCTCTGGGGCGACCTATCTCTCAGTCACGCCCCCACGCGCCGGCCCCAGGATGCGGAAAATTTAAACTTGGTCGTTCTCGCTCTCAATAGACGCCGCAAATCCGGCGATCGGACGTAGTCTGGCGTTACAAAAAACAGAGCGCCGCCGCCGCAAGTTCGCGTGCGCAACGATTCACTCGGCGGGGTCGGCTCCAGGCGTTGGCGGAGTCGGCGTGCGAGGGCTCGTCGGTGTCGGAGCTGCTTCGGTGCTGGGCTGCGTCGGCGCGGCTTCGGCACTGCTGGGCGGCGATGTAGAGGCGTCGTTCGGGCTTGGCGTTCGTGTGGTCGTGGGCGTCGGCGGCGGCGTCGGCGTTGCCGTCGGCAGCTCGTTCAGGATGAGGCCGCACTGCACCAGGTACCACGCCTTGAGCTTCTCGTTGTTACTCTGGAGCATGTCCGCCCCGCCCATCAGAAAAGCCATGTCGGTGTTCCTCTTCTTCGCGGCGACGTTCGTCCGGAGCAGGTCGAGCTTGATGGCGTTGTTCTTCATTAGCGACGACCACCGCGCCTCGGTCTTCTCTTCGCGTAGGACGGCCCGGGCCTGGGCGTCGGCGAGGCAATGCTCGATGGACTCCTGATGTCGTCCATGTCGGCTCCCGTGTCGTCGGCGTCGCCGAGGTGCGAGAAGGGTAGCGGTCCACGGTAGAGATGGGGCGTCGGTGTGGACGCGTAGGCGGCGGGCAGCGAGTAGTTGTATGGAGGGTACTGCACGCCGACGAAGGCGGGCGAGGGCGTGCGCGTAGCGGGGTGACCATGAGGGAAGGTCACGTTTGGGTTGAACCCACCGTGCGCGTCGCCGTCGGCGTAGCCGGGCGACGATGAACCCCATGGAGATCCGGCGCCTTGCTGTCCCCAGGGCGCGTACTGGGCATGGCTGGCGACGGGTGGATTCATCCCCGCCTGGTCGACCGATGAGGAAGACGCCGCCACGCGCGCCGCGTTGTCGCGGACCTTCTTGGCTATGGCCCTGTTCCGCCTGTCGGCGGTGACTGCTTCGCGCCGCTGAACTTCCACCCTCCACTCGGCGTTCGACATGCCCGATGGCTTCGATGGCGGCGCCCTCGGCTTCCTCTGCTTCGGCTGGGCCACGACGCCAGTCGCGGTTGCCGCCGCGCGCGGCATGACGTACTTCTTCGCGACGAGCGGGAGGGGGTTTGGCGGGAGAAAGGGAGAGAATGGCGGGAGGAAGACGAGCGAGCGGGAGAGATGCGAGGGAAAAGCGTCAAGAAACGGCGGGAAAAGGCCCATCGGGTCCCCTCCAGGGCGGGCCCACACGCCTTTTTCGCTTGTGCCGGCTCCCCAAGCGCCCCCAGGGCGCCGGGTTCGGCCTGGGTCCGCCGGCACCAGTTTTTGCCCGAGCCGACGAAAAACGGGCTTCTGAGGGCGCGACTGGGGCCTTTTTTTGGCGCCGGCGCGGCAAAATCGCCTGGAGAGAACCTGTTGGGGACGCGGCTGAAGATGCCCTAAGAACCCTCGCTCGTGCAGTGCAGTGGTGCCACAATCTGTTGGGCAAGTCAAACACCGTGCATCTTCTAACAAGAGGAGGTGGTTTTGTTTAAAGGACACCGCGAAAGTTGAAAGTTGAAATAATTATGTATTATGTACTTCCTCCGTCTGGAAATACTTGTCGAAGAAATAGACGTATCTAGATGTATTTTAGTGTTAGATACATCCATTTTTAGTCATTTCTATGACAAGTATTTCTGAACGGAGGAAGTATCCTATAGTGAAAGAATCGATTCATATCATGACGTCCCGTTCCTAAGCAACTTGCATTGTACGGCCTTCTCGCCCGTACAAACAAAACAAATCTGTGCGCATGCGACGCCCAAACGGCGGCACGTCGATGGAGATCATATGACACCCTACCTTGGCCATCCGCGTTCTTGGGAAAACACACATGACAACCATGGTGCACACCTCCCAGAAGACGTGAGAATCTCTATTTTTTTTCCTTTTTGAGTAAGCACGAGTGTAGATATTATGTAGGAGTAGTATCTACCTTTAAATGGACGAGTTTATTTTTTTTTCTCCTTTTATGAGCTGTACATTGGATCATATTCCGTGGAATTGGAATCATAAAATCGAATCAAACCGAACCAAACCGAATGAAATGAAAGTTCCCCACGGATCGCGCGCGCGTGCATTCACTCCCGCAATAAACAAGAGGCCGCGTAATCCACGGCGGGGTCGTCAATCGCACGACGCCGAAGCGCGACGGCACGGCACGGGACGACATTTTCAAACCGGCTCGCTCGCTCGCTCGCTGCCCTTTTTCCCCTTGGGCGTCCACGGCTGGCCGGTTGGTTGGTGCACCTAGCGGGCGGGCGCACGCACGGGCCCCACCCCGAAATGACCGCCTTACCCCCGGCGCGCTTATCCGCTCGGCCCGCCCCCCGCCACTAGCCCCGCCGGCTCCGCCCGTGATTCCCCGCGCCATCCGAGGGCAAAAGGGTCATCTCCCGCGCGTCGCCCCCCGGCTCGCACTGCCGCGTCGCGATATCTTCCTCTCCCCCCTTTTTTTTCCTCCTCCCCTCGTTTCGTTCCCCCACCTCGCTCCC